TATCCCGTTTGTCTCTGTGATTCCTTGTTGCTTAGTTACCAATGGTTAGGCGGATTCCCGTTTTCCCTAGTCTCTTAGTTTATTGATTATTTCATCTTATTAGTAGTATTTTAGAACACCATCTTCCATTGATTTCGAACTAGCTTAGGTTTTAGGATTGATTAGCAGTTACTCTCGTTCTTCGTGGACCGAACCTTTATTTGCCATTATACAGGTTATAGGGTGTTCGTATAAGTATTGTTTGATTAAGAGTTAGATTGTAGCGACCGATTTAACGCTTGTCACAAACACACTACAAGAAAACAGGTCATTTCCGACGGAAAAATTCCGTCGGAAACACCCTAAATTTCGTCCGAAAACACTGTTCCGACGGAAATTCCGTCGGAACTGGTTGTCGGAACACATTTGTAGGAAAAATGGCCAATTCCGTCGGAACAGTGTTTTCCGACGGAATTTCCGACCATTTTTTTCCACCGGAAGAGGAATTCCGGTCACCGAAAAGTCCGTCGGAAATACAAATCCGCCGGAAACTTCCGACGGAAAATTCCGTCGGAAACAACATTAAAAATAAATAATAAAAAAACTAGCACCACCCCAACCACCCTATCCAGCCACCACTTCCCCCACCTTCCCACCTCACCAGACCCACCCACCTCCCCACCTCACCTGACGTAAACCCACCTCCCACCCACCTCACCGAAACCCACCCAAGCACCACCCACCCAGAACCACTACCCACCCACCCACCTCACCGCACCACCCATCCAGCACCACCCCCCTAGACCACTACCCACCCAGACCACCCCCCACCACCACACCCACGAACCGACCCACCACTCCCCGCCAGCCCCACCACGACAACCAGCCACCCCAAAAAAAATCGAAATAAAACAACCCCAAAACAGTACAAAAAAATAGAAAAAATACAAAATTAATTAAATAAATTTAACAAAAACGATAATTAACCAACGACAATTAAAAGAAAAAAATTAATATACAATTTTATCATAAATTTTATAAACTAATTAATATTACAATTCCATACAAAATTATCTAGATCTACACTAAATCTTATTTTTCACAAGATCTAAAAAAAAAACCTTGACAGTTGAGACTAGTGCAGTGCCGTTCGACGGTGCGTGGTTGTTGTTGCCCCGGTTTGTTGCGGTGTAGATGGTGGTTGTGGTTGTTGGTGAACGGAGAGAGAGAGAAGAGGAAAAAGACAAGAAAATTAGAAGAAGATCCCTAAAATTTTGTGAGGGAGGGCAAGAGAAGGAGAAGAAAGAAACCAGAAAGAAGAGGAGGAGGAGGAGGAGAGAGAGAGAAAGAGGAGGCCGCTAGAGGAAGAGAAATGAGGAGGAGATAGAAAGATTAGGTTGATGTTAGGGTTTGTTTTTTTTTATATCATTATATTCCGACGGAATATTCCGTCGGAAATTTCTGACGGATTTTATTTCCGTCGGAATATATGGGCTTTCCGACGAAATAATCCGTCGGAAATTTCCGACGGATTTTATTTCCGTCGGAACTTTAAGTTTCCTAGGGAATATTCCGTCGGAAAACACATTAATTCCAACGGATTTGTATTCCGTAGGAATTCCGTCGTAAATTTCCGACGGATTTTTATTCCGCCGGAAATTTACGACGAAAAACATGTCCGTCGAAAATGGTCCGTCGTAAATCGGCCTATTTCTAGTAGTGACAACATGTATTATTGCATCCTTTAACTACCTCGGTGTATAAACACCTTAAGTGCATAAGGCACCTCAAATCCACAATCCTGTCTTATCAGACTTTAACTCTTTCTTTACTCATTCCAATTCAATACAATTGAATAAGTAGTTTAAACGATTCATTCCATATATATATATATATACTTATAGCTTTGCATCTAAGCTCTCTTGCAAAATATTGCATAAATAACGCTCAATAGGAAACATCAATGCAATTTCTCATACATGAATTAAAGCAATCATCACATTTATCAACAATCAACTTATTACCAAACAATTTCAACCAATCCACAAGTCTCCTAACATGATTCTAGGTCTTTTCCAAGTCCTTAAACATGCTTCTAAAGTCAAGGTTCTTCGTATACTTGTACGTACCTTGAGTACACAAATTGATTGACCACTTTAAGGCTAGAAGTCCCCCTCTACAAAGTCCTCTCCGAGACAGAACAACAATAGCTCAATTAATACCCAAGCAACATATATTACAGCAATACTAAACTATTTTAAAATCCTTTAAATCATTGAAATAATGTTCTTAAATTATTCCCAATAGCCAAAGTTAATAATTTAGTACTTGAACTATGAGTTTATATGCTTAAATCACAAAAATATGGCTTATAGCAAAAATTTCAGCAACTTTAAAGTGATGTTATAAATCCAAAAATTCGTTTTAAGCATGTAAAACAATCTCACAAACATTTTCACTTGAAACAGTCATTATATAGTACGTTAGTATGCTGAGAACTTGAAAACCCATCATAAAACCATGACGTAAAGCTATGTAAAGTTAAGATTAAAATCTGAAAATTTAATTTAATAGTAAAGTGTATGAATACAACAATCTAAACTAGAAATATATAATTATAATTTAATTAGTTTCATAAAAACTCAATTAAACCTTCGATAAAAATAAAAAACTGCACGAAAACCATACTTAGAAGCTGAATTTGGCCACGAAAGGGTGGTAATCTCTACCATAGGTAATGTGTTTTGATTAAAACATCATTTACACATGAAAAACACTATTTTTTTGCGAAAATCAGACGAGTTACAGTCAAAATGCGATTAAAACGTGATTAAGAAATTTTATGAACGGAAATTCAGAAATTAGTTACGAAAAATTAAGAACTTGCTGTTGAATTAAAAATCATCATAGTCATAGCAAAATCACAACAAAATCATGCTCAATTTAAATAACTTTAGCAACACGTTTTTAAGCCCTAAAACCATGAAAATCAAGTTTTAAACCCTGATTTCACAAATTATGTAAATCTGAAAATTTAAACTACATATCATAATTTATAAACTTGATAATTTCTCATGTTTTTAAATAATTTAAACATGATTAAAGTAATTAAAACTAACAATATAAATTAAGATAACAATCTTTAATAATAATAAGGAAGAAGGAGAAACAAGGAAGGAAGGAGGAAGAAAGAAAACCGGCGGCCTGGTGGTTGGGCGACGGTGGTCAGGCGGCAGCAAGGGTCCTGGGCGGTGCTGCGGTGGTGGTTACGGTGGCAACAAGCTTCGACCCCCCTTTTTTTTTTGGTTTGATCGTGAATGCAGTAGGAGGGAGAAAGCTTAGGGTTTTTTTTTTTTTTTTTTTTTTACGTGAGATTAGAGGGGGGAAATAAGGGTTTTAGTTTTTCTAGTTCTTATAAAACTAAGATTAAGGTTTGGGCTTAAAGTAAGTGGGTTTTAGGTAAAAGAATGGGTTTAGTAATTTATGGGTTGGGCTTGCATATTAATGCATGATTACAATATGGGTAGGGAAATAATTTTAATGAAATAGTTTTATTAGTTTTATAAACATTAAATTTATTTGCTTAAATCATAGTAAAATAATTTATATAAATAAATAACTATAATCAAATATTCACAAAAATATGTTAAAATATAATTTTAAATTTCACAAAATTACGGGGGATTACAACCACTTTCTCCCTCTGAACCAACAACAGCCACCACCGCCCAGGTCGCAACTAGCCAACTACCTCTTCCTACCCTCTCCCTTGCCGATGCGCCTCTCCTTCCCCCAGTATCACCACCCCCTTCCCCAAAAATCCCTTGAAATCTCCCCAATTTGAACCTCCAAAACCCTAATTTATTCCTTGTGATTTTGCATCAATTTCTGCAATTCCTCCTTCAAATTGTGAGAATTTCCTCTGTGTTGCAATTGAATCATAAGATTATGGTTTAAAGGAGGCTTTTCGAGCTTGAAACCCAGTCCGATGGAAAGCCCCAACCTTTGTTTCTTTAGTTTTTTTTGTTTTTTTTGTTTATAATAATGATTTCTCCCTCAAAAGAAAAGGTTTTCGATCTCCTTCGAAAGACAAGATTTTTTCGATCTCCCTCGTAAGACAAGGTTTTTCGACCTCCTTCGAAAGACAGGGTTTTTCTCCTCTTTTTGAGGGGGAATTTCTTTAGCTTAAAATCTGGGATAATAGATCTGAAGGATTGCCGTGAAATTGTTTCGTTGGTGAAATATTATGCGGGGTCGCAAAGGTTATCAAATTTTCAAATACGGTCAGATAAATCTGATGGAAATCATCCTCACGGCTACAAGGGATCGTTAGATTGTCTCTCCAACAAGGCTGTATTTTCCAGCGATATAAGCGAGAGATGTTCCACGTTGCAAGATCTGCTCGACGATCGTAGTTTTTATTTGATTCAAATTATGTATTTGTTAAATTCGGTTATCGCTGTAGATGTCGTATGACTTATTATCAATGAATTAATTTTACTATTAAAAAAAAGGGTTTGAAGGCAATATTTCGTGACCTCTATGCGTAATGTAGACCCCATCATTACGTCATGTCATATACTCAACTCCTCATTATAAAACGTCACCCACTTTACTCCTCAATATACCATGTCACCCACACAATCGATAATACTCCATGTCTCAACTCTCAACTATATTGAAAATATATACTTCATATATGGATGAGGAGGTTCGAATATTTGACCTCTTAAAATAAATTATTGTTTAACCATCTATGCTAATTATCAATTACTTCCTCTATTCTTTAATACTAGCAACACTTCTCTTTTCACGCTTGCCAATGCAGTATTTCAATTATTAATATCTTTAATTGTTAATGTGTAAAAATTATAAAAATTTGATATTATGAAAGTATAAATTGAGACGAGTAAAACAAGGTCCTACATGAGTATATTTTTATTAACCTATAAATTACCAAAACTAGTCAAATTGAGATAAAACCGAGGAAATATGTTCTAATCTTGCACACAAATTAATTATTAATATTATACTACAATAAAACGATGACACGTGTCAACAGTAACTTGTAAAACCAATAAAACAACGTCCTGTGTAAAGTGTGGTTTAAAAAAAACAAAAAAAATAAAATAAATACGGAGTACAAAGTACAGTATTTAGGGGGAAAAAAAAACGTTTCCAAAAGGATATTGGAGGTATTCACGTGCACCCCTCCCTGTCTCTTTCCTCCATTGAAGCGGCTACTCTGAATTCTCCGTTGAAGCGGCTTGTGAGCTTTCTCTCTTCCATTGAAGCATAGGTAAGATGTTTTTGTTAATCATCGAATATCAGTTTCAAAATCTAGTGTTAATCGTTGATTTAATTCAATTTAGGGTTTTTCTAGGGTTGATTTTGGAACTATTGGTTACATTTAATTATTGGAATGCTGGAATTCGCTATTCATATTCTTAAGCGAGAAGAATTTAAATTGATGATTGAGTCAGATTTGATTGCTAATGTGTTGAAAAACCCTTGAATGTTAGGATGGAACTTTGAAAATGGAATTTTTCTCCCTGGGCTCAGGGCGGCCTCTCTTCCTGCCCTGGCTCAGGGACGGGCCTGCGTACTTACTGTACTCAGGTTCGTCTCTCTCTTGTTGCCTAGAACATCATTTTAGCTTTTGCGTCTGAATTATTTACTTGCTTTGAAACTAAAATTGGCTTATTTTGTGCAAAACGTTCTGGTGATTAGCCCGTGATCTGAATCCAAATTCTTTGGTGATCACTTCACTGATTTATGTTATGTTTGGGTGTTTGACTTTTAATGCTTATTGATTATCCACTAAGGTCTAACTAGCTGGTTATAGATTCTATACATCTGTACTGATATCTTTGGCTGAAACTCACCTAATTAAACTTAAAATCATGGCATTGGTAAAACTTTCAAAGCTGGTGCAATGCTACCTCCAAGAGTTACCTTAATGGTGACGATTGTGACGCTGTTGGTTGAATGATGATCAGTCCTTGATAGAATCAAGGTGCATTTCTAACCAGCTCAATGCTTTATGTGGTATGAATTTAGACTAATTTACCTGAAGATTTGATTCCTCTCGATTATAGTTAGTTAAATAAGAGTTCAACCTCATTGTTTTAATTTCTCTACTATGGAGATTTTAAAACAGAACTATCGCAAAGATAAGTGAAATACATGAATTGACCTTGTATTGGATCTGGAAAGATGCATCTGTTAGAGATGGATGTGTGAAAACAGCGTTAGAGATAAAATTCAAATTGATGGTATTTGAAGGAAGGTTAAAAATGCAAGTACAGTATTGAGGATAAGATAAGGTAGAACAAATAACTTTGGTTTGAGCATGTGAAATGTCAACCAATAGAAGCATTGATATGAGAGAAGTTGGATTCTAGATGAAGCCAAGGGAGGGCAAAGATGACTTGAATGGGGAGGGAGGTGCAAAATGACATGAAGCAGTTGGGATCAGTAGTTGATGTAGGAAGATAATATTTGTCAATGGCCAATCTTATCCATGCATTAGACCCCATCCTATTGGGATTGAGGATGTGTCATTGTTGTTGGTGAAACTTAGTGAAATGGATACAAACACCAGTTACATCAAGGCTCATGTAATGAGATCAACCCATTGTTTCCGGTGTGATTAAGAAACTCGATGGCTCTCTTTTCCCCAAATATTGTCAAATATGGTTTATGTAGGATACTTAAAGCGGAGGAATGAGGTCAATTGTAAGGGAATTTAATGAGCTTAAGTGGTTGAAGTCCCTTTGTATGACAATCCTCCTTGCTCAAAATTGTGTCATTGATGTAGTGCTCTAAAGTAGGAAAAGAGAAGGCCATCGGAGATCTTGATTAAGTGGTTGTATCGATTAATGTTCCACATAATTTAGAGCTAAAGCAAACATCCATGGAATATCATGAATGCCAAAATTTGTATGGATTTTCACTCATCTAGGAGATGAAGGCTGTACATGAGGCTCACCAATAATCTCATTGGAAAAGCCTTTTCTTTACGCCATAAAGAATTATTGCATAGGAGGCTAAAAGTATATTTCCAGAAGTCATTGTCCCAAGGGTGATAACTGATAAGAATAGAATTTATTACATAGAATGCCGAGATAGTGGGAGTTGCAGTTACTTTTCTTTCTCCCTGCTGAATGTTGTTCAGCTCTTCTTGAATGTGTAAACTTAGTATGCTTCAACTAGTTCAACTAACAAGCAAATCTTCTTATTCATGACATTTCAAGTTATACTTTATTGTAGAAAGGTATCATTGAAAACGTATGAGGATCGATTTGCCTTTTGAAATCCTTGTACACTTTACATCATGAAACTTTATAAACATAAGATCGGTTGAATACATATAAACAATTTCTTTGTAGACAATATTTTTAAACTTGACCATGAAATGATTGGTAAATGGTAATCATATAGGATATTTTAGAAGGTCATTTAATGATCCAAAATCCTACCTTGGATGTTGGTAAATGCAGAATCAGTGTAGCAATTCCATATCATCCAACCATAATTAACCCAGGAGTAGACTGTATGAGGTGTTGGCTGTTGGTAATCACAAAGGTGGTTTAAGTCGATGTAAAAATGAGGTTTCTGTGTTATATGATTCCTTTATATATTTGTTTTTCCATCTAGCTGTGGACATTGAATAGACGTGCCCATAATTTGTACGTTTTTTTCCCCTGTTACAGGTTAGCTATTGCTACCCTGCTTGCTGTTTTGGTGGGAACTTTGCGAGTTTGCTTAGAGGAATCAGTGAGTACCTTACTATTGATGATTTTTTTGGCTTCCTTTCAAGGGTTGTGCATAGTCTTCACTTGCTCTCTGTATTTCATGTCACTTCACTAGGGAAGAAGCATCTATATTCTGGTACTGTTACTGAACTCGTGATATATATTTTTATTTATTGAAGACTAGAGGACCCTTTGTTTGAATATCTAAAGCTGATTTCATCATCAGGTGTTTAAGATGGCATTTTATTCAGAGGAACAAACTACTGAGGATTATCTCTTTAAGATAGTATTAGTTGGTGATTCTGCTGTTGGGAAGTCTAATTTGCTTGCAAGATTTGCTAGAGATGAGTTTTACCCAAATTCAAAGTCTACTATAGGTGTAGAGTTTCAAACGCAGAAGATGGAGATAAATGGAAAGGAAATCAAAGCTCAAATTTGGGACACTGCTGGTCAGGAGCGGTTCAGAGCTGTTACATCAGCATATTACAGAGGTGCAGTTGGGGCTCTTTTGGTGTATGATATCAGTAGACGCCAAACATTCAATAACATTAGCAGATGGCTTAATGAACTTCACAGTAAGCATATATATGGATTTACCTGATTATTGGTTGTGTTTGGTAATTTTATCATAAAGCACCAATCCATGACTTTGATGTCTACTACTGTTTGATTATATTATCTCAATTCTCAATATGTTTCTAGGTAGATAGCATCTGTACTTAGAAGCACTTAGTTGTGAGTTGATTATATTGTTTTTGCTAATTGTGACATTTTCCTTAAAACTACAATGCTAAGATTGTCATCTTACAGCTCTGGCTTCCCCCCCCCCCCCTCTCTCTCTCTCTCTCTTGCCACTTCCTCTGTACAGTAATATGTGAAGAAAGGAGATTGAAAATGACGGTAGTACTGTAAAAGTTTTAAACTGAAGCTTATCCATAAAGATCTGTCTAATCAATATGAGATGTTGATTAAAACAAAAAAGTGCCCTTTTTGGGTATCAACAGGTTATGTAATGAGTGCTAAGACTGTATTATGTTCCCTTCCTATTAAATATTCTCTCGTTGAATTGATAAATTATGATGTTTGTTTTGCAGCGCATTCCGATATGAATGTGGTTACAATACTCGTAGGGAACAAATCGGATCTCAAGGATGCAAGAGAGGTGTCAACTGCTGAAGGGAAGGCTTTGGCAGAGGCACAAGGCCTGTTCTTCATTGAGACTTCTGCCTTAGATTCATCCAATGTGGCTGCTGCTTTCCAGACCGTTGTTATAGAGATCTATAACATCTTAAGCCGTAAAGTTATGCAATCCCACGAGTTAAAGAAGAATGATTTATCGTCCTTGAGTAATGGCAGGACAGTCGTTCTGCAAGGAGACGAAAATACCACCGTGGAACAACCAAAAAAGGCTGGATGTTGCAGTTCTTAACTCGGAAATGTGATGCCTATGCTGTTGTCCTGATGCTTCTGGAAACTAAATCATTTGTGGTTATTTCATTCATTTATTACTGGATGCTATCGTGAAAGTATGGAAGACTAAAATTGTAAATTTTATTGAAGATTAGTAAAATTTCTAGTCTTTGTGGTGTAGGTTGCTGTATATTCATCTGTATTTTGCCTGCATGATTAAATTGCCTTACAGTGAAAATGTAATAACTACTCCGTATGTAGTCATGAAAAAGCAGACACCAGTTCATCACAACGATGACATGGTTGTTCTTTATCGACTTTAAGTGGTGCCAAAGCCTTAACAAAAAAACTTCCTGCAGAATTACTGAACTATAAATTTATCTAGATAAATGCACGAAAATTGTATTTTTGTAATGACACATATATGGTACATGCATTGCTAGACCAAAGCAGGTAGCAAATGATGTAGCAAATCAATTAATGTCTTCAAAATTGAGTCTCTAAATGAACTCCGAACATTTGAGTATCTACATTCCAAAATCCAATAATGACTAAGGCCTTGTTCTTTAGAGCTGCTCTGCTTAGATCAAATCTGCTCTGCTCTGCTCAGCTCAAATCTAATCTGCTTTGCTCTACTCTGTTTTCAAATAATAATTAATAATAACAATAATAATAATTAATATTTATTAATAATAATAATAATAATTAATATTGTATTGATGATAATAATTAATGTGTTTAAACAAACAATAATAAAAATTAATAATTATTAATATTAATAATATTTAATATTCATAATAATAATTAATAATTCACAATATAAAGATTAATATTTAATAAATATTAATTAATAATTAATAATAATAATAATAACAATTTCTTTTTTGAACGGAATTAATAACAATGAAGATCAAAGCGACAATGAAGGTGATAACAATGAAGATCAAAGCGACAATGAAGATGATGAAAATGAAGATCATATGGAAGTAGATGGTTAATACACCACAATGTTAAACTCTTATGTTCCTATTTTGATATGTGGCTGTAATTAAGTGTAGATGTTAAACTATTGTCTTTTATCTTTCTACTATTAACATATGTTAAAGATGGTACACATTTATTTATGTTTTCATTCACCTAAATCAATGGTATGCACTTAATAATAATGTAACACCCCCGATTTACTAGCTAATAATAGATAATAAATAAAGGAAAAAAATAAACAACCTTTGAATAAAAATGCGGAAGCATACACCTAAATCGGAGGCATTACTGCCACACTCAACAACTTGTCAAGTGCTAAGGCTTACAAAATCCCAATAATTACAACTCAATAATCTAAGTGAGCTATTAATAAACCCTTACAAACTCGTTATAAAATACTAATCGAAACACTTGAGCTCCTTTAGCTACGATCACTTGATCAACATGTTTAGACAACTTGACTGCTCACCATTAAGGACAAATTCCGAAATAGATCGTCGCAGGGTGATGAGTGACATTTATGTTACCCTTAGGGGTAGTGTATTGGTCTCTTTTCTCCTGTTTTTCCTAGGTTTTCTACCTCTTTTCTCCTCTTATGGCTTCCTTTTCTTTTATGGATGAAAAGTATGCTTATTTGCGCTTGTTTTGATAATCTTTATGCATAATTTTATCATCCTCATGCTCTCGTGATCTTTGCTATCTTTTGCAGGTTCCATGACGGTCCTAAGCACGGTAGGAGGCCCCTTGGCCAAGTATGGAGGCATGGACAAAGACAAGAGGAGCAAAAGGGAAGAAGAGGAAGCAAGAAGAGGAAGTTCAAGAGGAGGTGTGGCCGAACCTCTAAGAGGTTCGGTCGAACCAAGGTGTGGTCAAACTTTTGAAAAGTTCGACCGAACCTCCAAGGCAGTTTCAACCAAGTTTTCAGCATGTTTACAGGAGGGGTCGAACCAGGAAAGTTCGACCAAACAAGGATCAGGGAGGTTCGACCGAACCTACCCTGAGTTCGGCCGAACCTACCCTGAGTCCGACGGAACCTACACAGAGTTCGGTCGGACCTTTTCCCGTTTCAGCTGACTTTTTGCGGAGCTTCCTAAGCAATTTTGTAAAGGGTATAAATAGTTTTTTTTGCTCATTAAAGAAAAAAAAAGATTTTTCATTTTAGAATAGATTTTAGGTTAGTTTTAGGTTTTAGAGAGAGAAACTCTCAAAATTTTAGAGAGAGAAAGTGAGGAGCACAATGGTTTTCATGGATTTTGGATAATCAAATGAGGAATTTGAAGATCTTCACCTTATATCAATGAGCATTTCTTACTTTCTCTTCTCTTATTGCTTTATTTAGTTGCTTTCATTATGCTTGAGTAGTTTCCCTTCTACTAGGTGTTGAGTGAGGCTTTGTAATGATTATTTGAGTTATTTGAGATAAATTTGATGATAATTGTGTGATTAAATTGATTGAATTGATGTTGGCATGTTGTTTGTTTTAGATTGGATTGATCTCCCATGATAGCACACTTAATTGCATATTGGTTTTAGTTTGACAAGGGATTGTGAATTAGAATTGATATATTTGATTGCATTTTGGGTAATTTTCTTCTATGCACCTAGTCAATGAGGGATCTAGGCTAGGAATTTGAGAGATTACTTTTGAGTGTAGTTAATTCTCATTATAATTCTTTCTTTGCATGATTGATTATCAAATGGATTCTCATTAGCTTATTAATTGTTCTAAGTGGATCTTTTCCCCTAGTAGACTTTATCATACCTTGTTCTTTATATGTGTTTTAGTGTAGTTGTAGTGTCCTTTATCCGTAAATCGACTTCGGCATAGCTTAGGCATTAGATTAAGAACAATCTAGCATTACCGTTCCTTGTGGTTCGACTCCGAACTTACCACTAGACTTGTTTAGGGGTTAGTTTTAGGATTTATAAATTTATTTGATTGAGTGTGGAATGTGCGACCGTTCTAACGCCCATCACAGGGCCACCATAAGAAAAAAGACATGGCCGCAAACACAAGTAACACAACAAAACAACACACACGTCAGCAAAAAGCTGAGTAATCATCATATATCGGAATACAAAGAATAATAAAATAATTAACATTACTAGCTCAATTAAACAATGCAGTTCAAAACTACATCACACATATATACCTCAAGGTAAAATAACTTTATACTCTGAAAATAACCTTTGGCAAACCAAACCTCGAATAATAATACGAACATTTACTCAACTAACTCATCTAATCCCATAAGGGTGCCATGCTCTTTGTTCTATACCTAGCCTTGGACATGGGTAATTCAAATAAATAAATCAACAAGCTAAGTATAAAAACTTGAATACTCTCAATAACTAGAAAACACCTCTAACCCGACCAATATGGGTCAAATCCCACAGTAAAGATTGTACCTCATTCTTAACTCATGATTATCATCTCCTTACCAACATGTCAAGGACTAAGGTAATTAACATCGAGCCTCAAATCAAGAACAAAATAATAAATTCTCAACCTTTTGATCGATCTCATACTTCGATCAAATAACCATTCACATGTTAATAACCAATATCTCAAAACGGCACAGGTTCCCAAATTATGTAACACGGCATTTCCGGTTCATAAAATACCTCAACTCTTATAGGGCAATAAAACTAGTTCCCAAATATAATTAACTCACAAAAAAAAAAATATTAGTAATCCTAAAACCTCAAGAACAATACTCCCTACATCAGCAGCATTAGAACCCTAGAATAAAAACACAATCAACCAATATAATACAATAAAATAATACAATAATTAAATCATACATCATCATAAATTAACCATATATTTTCAAAACATGATCATATGAATAACAAATCATAAAATTTACACATAATAATACAGAGTACAATCAATAAACAAATTATAACCAAACATGTCCAATAAATTTACACATAATAATAATAATAATACAATCACGTTAATATCAAACAATTCCAAAGGATCGATAGTGTGATTACTAGTCAAAAATATAAAAACATACGACTCCAAAACGACAAGTGTGATTACGCATAATAAACAATTCAATCAAATTATATTATCAAAAGATTGATATAGTGTGATTACTAGATGATAGATTATAAACATACAACTCAAAAAAATTAAATTTGTGTGATTACCTCTCGACAAACTAGCACTAGGTCGGGCGACATTGAGGTACGACTCTCGTATGCTTTGAGTTTTACAAACATAATATAGGCTTCTCTATTGATCACATTATAAAACATAAGATATGATGAGAATGATTTTTTTTTTATTTTTTTTTAAGAAAATATCAAATCTTGGTTTGGTTTCACGCACAGCCAATAGGAAAATGACGGCAATCTTTTTTTTTTTTAACATAATTTAATCAAATAAGTTGATAAAATTTAAAGTATACGAAATCTTTAATTTGTATTTTATACTTTATAATCACAAAATATACGGGTATTACAAATAATAATAATAATAATAATAATAATAATAATAATAATAATAATAATAATAATTAAATGCGATAATAATAGTAATAATTCTTAAAATATAATAATAATAATATTAATAATAAAAATAAGAATGATAATAATAATAAAAATAATGATGATGATGATGATAATAATAATAATAATAATAATAATAATAATAATAATAATAATAATAATAATAATAATAATAATAATAATAATAGGACTGTGGAGACTGACCTTTTGCGTAACCCTAGTGAGATCGCTTCCCCCAAACTCATGAAGAAATTGACAAATATATATTTCACGAAGGTCACTGCATCTGTAGAATCCACTTTCTCCTTATCTCAGCGTCAGGTTGCCTTATGGATGTCCCAGCAGGGGGATCACATTTCTGCCTGGTTGCGAGCGGTCCCGATATCAGGTTTGGGTCAGACTATGAATGGTAAGACTTACCGTTGTGTTCTTTGCTACCGGTTGGGTGTTCCCTTGTTCTCCGTTTCGACACCTTGTTCTGCTTGCTCAAGGGTTTTCGATGGGGATATTTTTGGGGATCATGCATTGTCTTGTGCTGGGATGGTGGGTATTAAACATCGGCACAACGTTGTTCGTTATACCCTTGTTAATACTTGTTTCCGCTTTGGGATTTCTGCAAGGAAGGAGGTCAACGTTGGGTTGACCGGAGGGAACGACGGGGCTCTTCGACCAGCAGATGTGTTGCTTTATTCTTGGGATAGAGGCCTAGATGTATGTGTTGACTTGACGGGGTCTTCTCCATTGACACAATCTGGGTTGTCTGACTTCGTTCCTGGTCGTGTTGTGTCGGCTGGGGCTCAGCGAAAGCGA